CCCAGCCAGCCTGGCACAGTCTGAAGAATGTGGACTTGAGGCCGGATGAGGTCGGATTTCATGTGGACTCAGAGCCCAAGCAAACACCTCCAGTTCCTAGCGGCTTGGGTTGGAGGTCACGTGAGAGATGGTGGTATCTCCCAAAGTTCAGTCCTGACACTCACTCCATTGTACTTAGTTTTTTCCCACCACCTTGTCCGTCAGTGGCACACGGATCACCCCGTGGGAAATGGTGGGACTGCGTCACTGCACCACCTGTCTCAGAGACGGACTTACAGTTGTGTCGACCCCTCTGCTTGAGTGCTCTGCCTCACCCCTCCCCACCTCACCTCTCCCCACCTCACCCCTCCACACCTCACCCCTCCTGGAACCTGAGTGAAGCCCCTGCTCATCTCTGTCCCACACCTGCTGGAGAGACCTGTTCCAACTCAGAGGGCTTCTCTGGAACACCACGGTCTCACACTTGACTGCAGGCATGGCCTTCACCGGTGGATCCAGATGCCTCACCTGGGTCACCCGGTCAGGCCCCTGATGTGGGTGCAGCGCATATCAGTGCTCAGAGCATCAGGAACTTTGAACTCTGTTGCTCACCCTCCTGCAGGATCAGCCCTGCCAACCTGCATTGCACTCTGGAGCCCCTGCCCAAGAGGCGTTCTGTCCCAGCTCGTCACTAAAACCCCAGCCCACCTGTATCCAAAACAGCTCGGTGCAGCGGGGAGGACTCACACCAGCACAGAAGTAAGACCAGGCATGGCATCTGGGAGCTGGGGGGACCTCACTCTAGAGTGCGTCCGTCACTGTCACCCAGACCAAGATGTCTGTTATCACCTCCCAGGTCTCTCTCTTATTCTCTCTGATCCGGCATCACTCAACGGCAAACCTCCTAAGAAAGGCTGACTTTTCTTTTTAGAACTGAATTTGTCTGTTTTGTCTGTTGTTGAAAAAGAGAAGAAAAGGAATCCAGGAACAGAGGGTGATCCCAGGCTACTCGGGATCAGAATGAAAACCCAGATCTGGATTGTGCTAAGCCTTTATTCCTAGAGAAGCTGCTAGTTACCTCTTCACCCAGAACTGGGGGAACCTGAGGCCTCTGTGGCCCAAACCTAGCAGGTGCTGACAAGTTATTCATTTTGGTAGAGGCACACCTGGGAGAGAGGGAAAAGGAGCTTCCCTTTGCTCACCTGGTTTTATCTTCCAACCTAGAACAGGGAGGAGAGGGGAGGGAGGAGTTGAGGGGCGGAGCTACCTTTCAGCCTGCCAGCCCATCCCTGGGAGCATTGTCTGTCAGCCCTCCAACCTCTGCATGCTGAGCAATGCACACTCCTCAGAAAAGCACAGGGCAGCCCGGGAGCCAGGCGGGCTGGCCCCACGGTAACATCCACGCAATGATCAGGCTGCCTCTTGGTCTCAGGCAAAGGAATCATTGGTACTGGAAAGGAATGAAGAATTTGGGGGGAAGAAAAAATCCGTCTTTTCGTCTGCAGAGCGTTGAAACATTTGGATCAAACATGAGACATCGCTTCAAGCCAGATGTTTTCTAGGCATCTCCACCGAGTTTCGATATTTGGAAACACTAAATATGTACTGACATTTCAGTATCTTTTCAAAGACCAAAACATAGAAGCCAATAAACGCTTCCTTTCTGAGACCTTATAAAGATAGACGAAGAGATAGACTTGGCGAGGTTTAAAACCACAACTTATGTGGCTACTTGAAATAGCTGAGAAAAAAAAAACAAAACATGTTTTCCTAAGTGTTATGGACTGAATGTCCATGTCCTCCCCAAAATACATATGTTGAAGTCTCCTCTCCACTGGTGGTGGTTTTCAGAGGTTGAGACTTTGGGAGATGATGAATGTCAAGGTGGAGCCTTCAAGAAAGGGATTAGGGTCCTCCAAGAAGAGACCAGAGAACCAGCTCCAACCTTTCCACCACGTGAAGACACAAGGAGAAATCGGCAGGCTGCAACTCAGAGGGCCCTTACCAGAACCCAGCCATGCTGCATCCTGATCTTAGAACTGTGAGAGGTAAATACCCGTTGTATATAAGCCACCTAATCCATAAGTACTTTGTTATAACAGTCCAAGTGGACCAAGACACTAAGTGAAGAGATTTTTTCCCCCAGGACATTATTGTTTAGGTTAGAGGCACACTCATATAATTATAAGAGAAAATGAATTTTCAAACCAGTGACCAATTATGTCATCAACTTTAGGAGCAATTACTAAGTAAGATTTCAATATATAATAGAATTTCTGGAATCAAAAATATAAAATATTTGGCACTGGGGTTTTTAGTACATATAAATAATTCCATACAGGTCTTTTGCATATTTTAGGATTATGAAGTAAAGAATATAACATAATGGTTCTTTAGCAGGCCTTAAAAAGACAGAGGAAAATTGCATAGAGGAAAATGTATAGAGCAAAAAAAAATTTTTTTTTAAATAAGAAACTTTGAATTTTGTTTGCTTAAACTTTTGAATATTTTCCTTAGGTGCCAGATTGGAATAACATCATGTCCCACAATTTCTGTACCTTTCTCTGAGTTAAAGTGCTTACTAAGAGGTAAGGATTTTGAAAGCTAACACAGGATACAGGGAGAATGTATTCTAGCAGTCCACTTGGGGAAATCAACATTTTTTTTTTCCCTGTTAAATTTTTCATGGGTTTCCTGCTAATAGTATGACAGGTATCTGACAGCAGAACCAGAAGATAAAATAGATACAGAAAGCTATTCCATTAGTGATAGGAAAGAATTAGGCAGGAGAGTATTCAGTGAGTCCTGAAAATTCTCCCTGCAGAATGAATGCAGGAGAGATAAAACCAATGAGTTTTGACCAAGTCAAGAAATCCAGGTTCTACTCGGAGGAGCAGAATGAACAAGTGATGTGGACAAGGCACTCATGAGGTTGACCCCTCCCTGAGGGGAGGATTGGGCAGAACCAACATACAATCAGTATTTGTGTGCGCCAGTGTGTGTGTGTATGTGTGTGTGTGTGAGAGAGAGTGTCTGTGTGTGTGTGTGTGTGTGTGTGTGTGTGTGTGTGTGTGTGTGAGAGACACAGAAGGAGCCCAGAGCAGAGCCTTGGGACAGCCCCTTGTTTCTCATTTCCCTTTTCTAGCAATAATGGGAGCCATTGGAAAAAGACCCATTTTTCCCCTCTGAGCTTGGGGATATGGTATTTTGGCAGAATGAAGAGAATCAGATCCCTAAGCAACAAAACACAGGTCTCTGTAGAATTGGTCTATATGTGGCGTGTCACACGCTATAATGGGTTTGCATGGGGCTATATTGGATTATATACCCAAAATCCCAGTCATCCTTCGGCATATGAAAATATTGGCTTGGACAAGATTTGTCAGAAATGAATATCAGGTGGGATACTGAAGACCGGCCGTCAAGAGAGAAGGTGGAAAGCCAGTCATTATTGTTTAGGGGACATTATTGTTTAGGTTAGAGGCAGGGAGAAAGTTTGTTTTGCTGTTTGGGATTGTGATCCAACAAAAAGGGAGGATGTGTGTGATTTCCCAATTTACAAACAGGAGGGAGGCACTCGGAGCTTTTCGAATGCTCTTGTCCTAGCTGTGTGCTTCCTGCATTTGACAGGGGGCAGGGAATCACGATGCCAAGCTAGACAAGGACTATCGACACCCAGTGGGACTCGGTCATCTGGGACGGACAGCGAGTTCAAGGTACTCCCGACCATACAGGTGAGATAGTCTATTCCCAGATAGGCCTGTATATGCATCTCTATTCAGGAGCCAAGTCAATCCTTGATTTGCATCAGATATAAGAATCACAAAAGCAAAAACCATCATCACAAACACAAGTAGAAGCCATATAAAGTAGCTTGCCCACAGATTGAATAAGGGAGGTGGCCTAAGGCCCCCTACCCATCAGTAACAAGCAAGGCATTCGCCTGTAATCCCAGCAGCTCAGGAGGCTGAGGCAGGAGGATCATGAGTTCCAAGCCAACCTCAGCAAAAGCGAGGTGCTAAGCAACTCGGTGAGACCCTGTCTCTAAATAAAATACAGAATAGGACTGGAGATGTGGCTTGGTGGTCGAGTGCCTCTGAGTTCAATCCCTGGTACCACCCACCCCCCCAAAAAAAAATGAGCAAGGCAGCAAGATGGTTCCTGTTGTGGATGCACCGTAGGATTGGGTGGCACCACTGGAGGACTGGAATGAGCATACCTCAGACGAGGGCCATAAAATATGTACACTGCATAGGGTGAGGTTGCACATCAGCAAGTGACAACTGCACATCAAATAAAGGTGTCCTCAGTCTGCACAAATAGACAGGGAAAAAAATACGGAATGGTAAAGAAGAAAGAAGAACCACGCACAGAACCATTTCATTTTATTCCTTATATGTACAAACATGAATAATTTGACATGATGTTTAGACAGTTTCTCCCTAACTTAAGTCTTTTAATTAAAATGAAAGGAAGGAAATATGCTTTAAATATGAATGCAAGAGGTGTGAGCTGACAGCCCCCAGCCTTCCTATTCCTCTTTCTCTGGTTGTTAGCGAACACAATAAAATCTCGTCTTCTTCCTGCCGTCTTTTCATAATGTTTATGGTTGTTTTAGGTAACACATAAACCATGCTGAATGTGATATTCCCCTTATTACATGTCAGGGGCACATATTAAACGAGAGCCTGTCCCTTATCCTGCTATTTACTTTTGAGGCAAATCAGTCAATGTATTTTCCTCGACTCACCAGGCAATATTACAGGGCCCACTAGGCCAGGAAGGTAAATGCTAACTGTTCAGCTTGGGCCAGGCGCCACGCCCTCGGCTCACCACCGAGTGAATGAGAGCAGTATATTCTGGGCTGAAAAACGGGCTCAGATGTTGGCCCTCATAAATTATGTGATTATTAAAATGCTGCACAGTTCCAACCCATATTATTTTATTTTACCTTCTGCCGGCTCCCTGGTTGCCTGGTCCACTTTGCCTCTGTTTTCTGTGTGCTTAACTTGTAAAATGCTAAACAAGTTTTGATATTTACCTGTTTATGATTAAATTGCAAAATGATCTGCTTCGTTCTGTTCTAAATTAAGGTCTGCATTAAATGTCATAGCATTTATCTTTCATAAAATGAGACAGCAAGGACACTAATTTCCTAGGTATTCAATCACTGCCCAGTGCCACTGGAGAGACAGCCCGGGAGCCAGCCTGCCCACAGTTCACAGCTCACTGACAGCCCTGAGATGGAATCATAAAAGTCAATTAATCATTAAAAGCTGTTACAAGCACATATCGAACCAGTCTGGCACAAAATGTTAATCAGTCCAATATCAATATAATAAATTCCTGCAAATTGGAGCGATCGATACGTTTAGGGCCTAATGAATCAATTTGAGGGCACTGGGCTGCTCCTTGGGGTCCCCATGACATGGCAGCCGGGCGAGTGCTACATCTCTAGGCGCACTGCCAACAGAGGTCACCTATCCTAACAGGCTGTTCACTTCAGCCGCAGTTACCACGGTGACAGCATGTCACCGCGGCCCTAGTGTCCTTGTAGGTAAGGGGGAAGCCAATGCATCACTGCTCTTGATGGATTCGTCAATAATACTTAGCGGGGGTGGGGGACCGCTCGCGCGACACTCGCCGTCTCCCGTCCCTGGGCAGTGCGGTGTGATTTAATTGTCTGAAGAGGTGTGTGCGTCTGCATATATGCAGGAACTAAGCAGTGGTCACGGGCAGAGGGACTTGGCTGCGTGTGGAAAGCCTTGGGAAAAGGGCACAGAAGCTAACAGGCGGCCAGAGCGATGGCCAGGTTGGTGTTACATTAACTAAGTCGCTGTGCCAGGAAGAAATAACCTGCAGCTTCTCGGATTAACAATTTATTAGCTACAACGTTTTAATACATTACTCATGGGTGGAAATGGAGCTGCGTTTCAATGCCCCCAAGGCTCAGCTCAGCAGGGTTCCCAGACACCTGCTTACCCACTGTGGGTGCTCACCAGGGAAAGCCAGCAGGGGTGATTAGTGGGTCTCCCCTGTCCCCCACCAGCCCTCCAGCCCTCTCTTTCTCATCTGTCCCTCCCCGCCCCCCCCTTACCTGAAGACTCCCCCATTTGGACCAAACCAGCCATGAGACTGAAAACTTGAAGCCCCCAAATGGGATTTCAAACTGGCCTCTTCCTCATCTGTCTTGAAAAATCAGTATTTTCATGTTGTGATACACTTTATCTTGTGTTCCCGATAAAACTGACCAGTGAGCGGAGCCCAGAGCAGTTTTGGAATTGCCAAGTGGAGTGAAGCCTCTTTACAGATAAAGGAAATCTCTGCCCTTCGAGACTCTGGTGAATCACCGTGTTCCGGAACCTTCACTGTCACTTAACATAAAACTTAAAGGTTAACACTGAGTAAAACACGACCCTGCCTGATTATTTGAATAGTCTCAAAGTGCAACTCTTTCCCCTGGATTGCTCCTACAGAATGCATGGAGTTCAGGAGCTCCTGGGTGGTTGTATACTTTTCTGCCTTCCTGGGGAGGATGCTTCTGTTGGCTTTCATCCCCAACAGTCATTGTATGCATCTCCCTTGCAGTCATTTATTCCCTTCTAGAAAAAAAAAAAATGGAAGCTATGCCAATCCAAAGAAATGTTAATTTCTACTAGCTAGTTATTTTAAAAGATTTTTTTTTTCCTTACCTGGAAAGAGAGAGAGAGAGGGAGAAAATCATTTTTTTTTATAATAGTGGTCTGAATTATAGGAAACATCAAAATAAATTACAAATTCTCCACTAAAGAAATAACTATTCAACACATTGAGACAGGGTGATGTTAAGGGTGTGCAGACAAAGGTAATGCAGTGCCTCCGCTTAATTGCCCTGACATCCTGCTCCGTTCCTCCAGCTACACTCTGAGAGCTAAAAATCTCTCATTGTTATTAATTGTATTCCTTTTAGAATGTAATGTCATATCGCTGCAGGCTGAGCTAATGAAACATACCCATATTACCAAAATAGGCATATTTCTTTTTGTTCAACGTGTTCTATCAAAACTGTCTACTAAAGACATTGTGTTAAAGATCTTTTCATAGAGTAATATAAAGAACATCTCAACTACTTCAACATTTCTATTACCCGATTACTAAAATGCCCAGGAGGACTCGACGATATAGTGTGAATTCAGTTATCCTATAAGACTTTAGAAATATTGCTAATTCCTGCCTCTGATTTATGTTAATATTAATGCTAGATTACATGCTATAGCCCCTGAACTCCCGCGGCATACCGATTCTCACAAAGGCCCGGCGCTTCCATCGCGCCCCAGCTATATGCCTCTATTATAATGAGAATCTGAATTATTTATCTCTATTTATCCTACAGGAGTTCACTCGACCCCAGTACCGTTTTCTTTTCCTACTGCACATCAATGCGTGTAAACATGACTTCAGAGCTGCTGCGCAATTTGTGTGTTCTGTTCTTTTTCAGGACAGCGATAGGCAGCAGACAAAAATGTTTCACCACGAAGAGAATTCATTTAAGCATGCATTTGAGGTAGAGTCTCCTAATTAAGTCAACTTTAACACAGACACGCAAATGGCACCATGCTATGTGTCTGGCGCCTAAACATCGTCTGGTGAGCCCAAAGGAAGTCGGGCAGCAGCAGGCCAAGGAGACAGTGAATGCGTGCAGCCTCTCTTCCTGTGACCTTCCTGCTGGAGAGAGGTTTGTCTGTGGGGGGCTGGAGGGCTTCCCATGACTTGGCTTGTACCTAGATGGACCAGGCTAAGATTTGGACCTTTTGACTTTGCTCGGCCGCTCAGTTGGTCTGGGGGAGGCAGGGCCAGGGCTACTGGGCCCCTCTAATTCAAGCACAGGTTTTGGTAAGTTGGAACAATTGAAAGTCAAAGGGAGAATTCAGGTCGAATGCTATGGAATGGCCTTAGGTTTTCTGGGTTAGAGAAGATTCCAGAGGGCTTTGTCATGGATGAAATGGGACTCGGTGGGGTACAATGGGGAGTGAAGCATTTACAAAGATCTACAAAGGTGGTATTATTTTTTACAAGAAAAGCAAGTTGTTAGCAACTGGAGTTGTCAATATTTTAGGTAGTCCAAAGTGGCAATGTTAAAGGGACACCCCTTTCCCTCAGGGACTGTTGGAGGGTCAGTTAATAATCATAGAGTTAACAATTAAAACCCTGCTAAGGGATCCAATTATATACCTTCAGTTCAGGTAAACCAATTTAATTCTAGCAGTTCTGCTGAGAGGGCCGCTTGTAAGGTGGATTGAAAAAGGTAAAAAAAAAAAATTCTGGAAAATGAGTTTATATTTATATATAGTAGTTACCCCACCCCTTATCCTCAGGAGATGCTTCCCAAGACCCCCAATGGGTGCCTGAAACCACAGACAGTACCAAACCCTAAACTGACTACATTTTTCTATATATACATATATATCATAAAGCTTAATTTATAAATTAGACACAGTAAGAAACTAATAACAATAAAATAACAGTTATACCAACACATTGTAATAAAATGTTTATAAATGTGATTTCTATCTCTCTCTCAAAATATCTTATTGTACCCTATTCTTTTTGTGACAATGTGGGATGAAACCATGCCTATGTAAAGAGAAAAGTGAGCTAAATGACATAGGTATTGTGATGCAGTCTTAGACGACTACATCAGGCTACTACATATTGATAACTCCAACACAAGCATTGCCATACCTTGACAGTCAATCTGATATCCCAGACAGCTAAGAAGTGACTAACGGGCAGGTAGCATACATAATATGGATACATTGGACAAAGGGATGATTTATGTCCCAGCCGAGACAGGGTGAGATGACATGAGATTTCTTCACACGACTCAGGTCAGTGCATAATTTAAAACTTGTGAATTGTTTATTTCTGGAATTGATCAATTAGTATTAGACAAAAGTAAATGGAAACTGCAGATAAGTGTAGACTGCTGTATAAAATTGGCCGAACAATTGAGCGGTAAACTATTAATGATCACATAAGGCAAATGACAATGTGGTAGAACTAACCAAGCCAATAATCAGTTATCAATGAAAAACGAGTCTAGAACAGGAATATTTAAAACATTTAAATGTTTAAAGTAGCTGAACTAAGCCTTTGAATTATATAAGATATGGTAATACTAATTGTTCTTTTACAATATTCCTTACCCAAGTTGTGGTGTGATATATAAGATGGCGCACACACACTTCCTTAGCATCTCTTATAGAAAGGCACCCGGAGGTATACTGAATGGCTACTGGTTTCTGTCCTTTATGTATCCAAGTTCTCAGAGGGGACAGGCTGCAGCTCTCAAGAGCCATGGGTGATAGAGAAGACTGTGGAGTGGACCGAAGATTTTGCCAGGCAATGCAGTCTTGGGAGGAGAGAGGCCGGGTCCCTGGTTCTGATGAATTCCGCCGGCCAGCACCTCCAGTGGAAGCCACAAAACAGGTGCTAACCAACTGGGAAATGTCAGGAGGAGAGTCATTATCCCCAGCTCCCAGCAGGACTCAAGACCTAGAAATCAACCCCATGGCTCTTAACCAGCATGGAAACCCACCACCACGGTGACAAGGTCCAGCTGGGGCCATGGTGGATTTGAAAAGGAACATGGGGACCCCAGAGCTCGGGGCTGGCTAGCTGCTCATATTCATCCTCCAATAGCATGACCTTTCATTTTACATAACTGAATTTGTTGGATTCCACTCATGGCATGATAGCAGATTTTCATTATGTATTTTTCTTTCTTTTAAGAGTACATTCTGTTATAAGAGTAATATATACATTTAAAAAAAAAAAAGTAACCTCACCCTACAGACATGTTGAAAGCAGAAGCCCTTTATTCACACTCTCAAGACTTAACAACTGTAACAAATCTATGTCATGTTGGCTTTTTTTATTTATGTGTGTATTAAAATGGAACCGAAGAAGAGATTTGTTTGGCAAAATTCTAATATTCCTATTAGACTCTAGTGTGCATCCTATTTTCCAGGGGCTGATGTAGCAAACATTTTATTATTATTACCATAAACTGGGTGACTCAAAAAGAGCAGAAATGTCTATTCCCACCATTCTGGAGGCCAGAAATCCTAAATCATGGTCTTGGCAGGGCCGGGCCTCTGAGGTCCTAGGGAAGGAGTTGGCATCCTTTAGCTTGTAGTTGCATTATTCCAACTTCTGCTTTCCTCTTCACGGGGCCTTCTTCCCTCCGGGTGCCTCTGTGTCCACATTTTTTTCTTATAAGAATTGTTGCTGGATTAGGGCCCACCCCATCCAGGATGACTGAACCTCAACTCACTCCATGATGTCTGCAAAGACCCTGTTTCCAAACACCATCTCGTTCTCAGGTTCTGGGGATTAGGATGTGAACATATCTTTGGAGGGGACACAATCCAACCTACTCAAATGTTTGGCTGGAGCTCGTTGCAAACATATAGATGAAATTTAAGCCCCCCCGGAACTTGATAGTTCAATTATATTTTAACTTTGAGGTTTGTGTTCACTTGCTGGCTTCTTGGCATACAAGCAAGTTTTCCATATTTTTGTCGTTTGAGTTGGCAATCACTTCTCACGGGTTTCTAATTATTATATGATGCATGGAAAGGTCTTCCTCGGTCTAAGATTACAAAATTACTCATTTTTCCCTTTATGTCTGTGACCCATTTGAATCTGTTTTGATGAAGAGTAAGTAAAATAGTTACTTTTTTTTTTTTTAAAAAGGACTACCCAACAATGTACATGTACTAATGTGCCTCTTTTGCCTAGGTAATGCCACTGTACGTAATGTAGTAAATAAGTCAATATCAGGATCTACTTCCAAATTGCCCATTAATCTGCTTCTTTACTCCTGTTCCTACACAGTGACGCCAAGTTACTATTTCTATGACTTTATTTTACATTTTAGTAGTTGTTAGAGACTATGTTCTACTGGCACTTTTTAAAAAAAATTTTTTTGTGTGTGTATTTCTTTAGTTTTTTGTTCTTGTTGTCGTTGTTGTTCTAGTACTGGGGATCAAACTCAGGGGCACTCGACCACTGAGCCACATCCCGATCTTTTTTTGTATTTTATTTAGAGACAGGGTCTCACTGAGTTGCTTAACACCTTGCCATGGCTGAGGCTGACTTTGAACTTGCCATCCTCCTGTCTCAGCCTCCTGAGCCATTTTTGTTTTTTCACCCCAAATTATCTTAGCTGGTCCCAAATAGATGTTTATTCTTCCAGATGAACCTTAGTCTCATTGGTGTCATGTTAAAAACAAACAAACAAACAAAAAAACACCGCCACTGACAATAACAACAAAAACCCAAGTCCCCCACTGGGATTGCCTTGTGAACTCCATTTTCTTCAAACTGTGGATATTAGCTCTGTAAATTTGTTTTTATTATGTAAATCTTTTTTTTTTCTTTTTCTTTAAATCCTTCAGCAGATTTTCAGAGTTTTCTTCACAAGGATTTTGGACGTCTCCTATATGATTTATTCTCGGAGGTTCCGTGTTTGTGTTTGTTTTTCTATTGTGAATGGAATCTTTGAATTACACCCTGATTCTCCTCCTACTCATTCCCCACATCAATCTGTTAGCAAGCGCTGGTGGTTCTTTCTGCATCTGAAATGCACGTCTAACTCACTTGTGTTTTCCTGAGGCCACCCCATCACCATCTCCCCTCGCCTAGACCATGGGTCACTTGGTTTCCACCCCATATTTCCCAAGACCACGTTCCACCTATCCACCAGGGCTAGCTTTCTCAGTAGCCCAGAAGGTCACACCAATGACACTCCCTTAAACCCCTGCAGTGGAATCCCACTGCACCAAGCTGAGATCCAGCCTCCTAAAGGTGTCCTGCTTGAGCCAGAGCCCCTGCCCCAACACGCTGGCTCTTCCCGGTCACTCTAAAGTGCCACACTCTTGTCCTTGAGCTTCTTTCTCCATTCCCTTCCTCTGGCTCTTTGTCTAACTGCCTATTTCCATCCTTCACATCTCAGCTCACATTCGACCTGCTGAGAGAGGCCTTCCTGCAGGCTGGGTGCTGTAGGACTCTTCCCATCACCTGCCCTGGCCCTGAGTCCCTCACCCCCACACAGGATTGTCCCGAATTCCCTCACAGCAGTGACTGCTACCTGAGAATCTGTCCGCGTGTGCATTGGCTTGTTTGTATATTGTTTATGTCTTTTGATTACAAAGCAAGGAGTTGGAAAACAATGACTCAAACCCATTATAGGTGTGTCCCCACTGTCCAGCAAAATGGACCCTTTCAAAAAGGTTGTTGAAGCCTGGTGCAGTGATGCATGCCTGCAATCCGGCAACTCAGGAGGCTGAGGCAGGAGGACCACAAGTTCAAAGCCAGCCTCAGCAATATTAGCAAGGCCCTAAGCAACTTAACAAGACCTTGTCTCTAAATTTTAAAAAAAAGGGATAGGGATGTTGCTTAATGTTAAGCACACCTGGGTTCAATTCCTGGTACCAAAAAAAAAAAAAAAAGTTTGTTGAATAAATAAGTAGGGTGTTAGGTGTTGCTAATTTTATTTTTAGTAACTGTTCTTTTTTTTTTTTTGCTTTAACTAAGGTGTATTAGTTCTTGTGGGTTTTTCTGATGTGCAATCATGTTATATCATCTTCAAGTAATGACAATTTTTGCCTCTTTCAGTTTAATTCCTTTTGACTAGTATTTCTAGAATAATTTTAAATACTATTGGTGATAATAGGAATCCAGGACTTGCTATTGATTAGCAGAAATTTCTTTTAGGAGCTTTCTACAAAATCTGGTATTATGATACTGACAATAAAAAGAATATGTGAGTTGCATGTGTGCATTTGTGTGGGGTATAGTTTTGTCACGTTAAGGATATATAGATCTAGCCCCATTACAGAAATGTCAGAAGTCGATATTATCTTTATTAAGACACATTTCAGCATTTATTCAGGTCAACAAATGCTGAATGGTGATTCATTTATTAAGGTGGTCATGTACATGAATAGATTTCTTCATATTGTATCACTGTTCTTTCTGGAGTGAATCACACGTGGTCTTTTTAAAAAATGCACAGCATCTTTGTAGCAGTATGCATGGGTACCCACGTATGCAGGTGGTTGCTCATGAATGGTTCAGTCCGGGAATGTCACTGGTGAGTGCGCTTTGGAATAAGAGCATCCCTGGAAGTGAAACTGAGATAGCCAAGACAAAGGAAGACAGACTCGGAACTCATATCCTCATAGAGATTTATAATAGAGTAACATTTTGAAAACCTTGTGGGGGATACTTAAAACTCCAACACAGCTCACAGAATGGCTTGTAGAGATAGTGTATTCATTAAGAACATGACTCTGGATAAGAAGATGAAAGAGTAAAACTATTCCTTTGTAGCCCAAAGTACAAAATAACAGAAGAAAGTCTGGAATGGCCTCTCAAGGTCATGTGACCACTTGTTCCAAGGAGAAAGGAATACCTGAGGAAGCTTTCACTAGCATATCTGTCCCCAAGAATGATCTGGTCCACCGTGACCACATGATTCTCTAAGATCTAATGATAGTACACAAGCAGGCAGCAGAAGCCAAGATCAGCTCTCACAAGCAAGAGTGAGGATTTCATTTTCTCCCAGCTCTGTATCCACACAGGTTTACTTGACTCCAGTATAAATGCGGTTTCACTAAGACTTTCCAACAATCTATTGCAAAGAATCAATCCCCAATCTAAGCACTGCATGGAGACACCAATTATGTTAAAATATTTAGCCTATCTCCCAAGTCATTAAGACTGGATAATAATGCAAAGTTAATTACAGCCTGCGGTTAATACTACAAAGTACTCAAGCAAGATGGACATCAACAAACACATAAAACATTCTTCCTCTTTCTTTATCTGTCTTTCTCCTTCCTTTTAAAAGTACTTTCACTTTTTGAAGATTCCTAGAGAACCAGATGGGTGATGAAACGTCTCAAAATATCAGGTTTCACATGTGATACTAATATTGGGAGAAAAAAGTGACACTAGAAATTATTTAGTTATTCTAAAATCTGTCACTTCTTGCAAACAGTATCAGAATTAGAAAAGAAAAAATTAATCGCATAACATTGTGTTCTCACATTTTCAATGCAACCAGTGAATCAGAAAGGAGGAGGAGAAGAAGAAGAAGAAGAAGAAGAAAAAAAAATGGTCACCCCCGAGCCCTAGTCTGAGCCAAGCTCCTGCCTTCTGCCTGAGAAAGAATTCTCAGACTTCCTGATGAGTAGAAAGCAAGTCTATGGTCCCAACTGTCCAGAGGAGCCCCTGTGAATCTGGACACAAGCCACAAGACACGCAGGAGATGATCCACTAAGGACATTGACATATTAAAAGGAGACTCCTTACGTGCAGGGAGGCATGAGGGATGCAAGAAGCCAGGGTCCTTGATTAAAGCTCCCAGGAGTCCTTGAGTGGGGAGCCACGTGGATGCTTCCCTCTCTTCCTGGTCCAGCCGCTTACATCCCTGAGTTCCTGTACTTGCCCATCAGCCACTGCCCGCATCTGGCTGTACTCACCCGGAAGCTGTCTGCACCCGCTGCACAGGCTCCAAGCTGGACCAGGTCAGTCTGCTCCCCAGCTGGGCTCCCCACAGCCACCATCAACTCCCATTTTGACATGAAGCCATTTAAATGGAAATCCAGTTTTACAAAGTACAAGTGACTGGTAATGAAGACGTGAATGATGCTTATGAGAGTTTTATTTAATTCTGAATCAATTGTATATTCTAATTCATTAATAAAGAGGAAAAAAAAAATAAAGGATACAGGAATGCCTGATCTCTGGTCATT